TACCATAATTGCACGCCTCTCATGGATGCAGTAGATTGTTTCGCTTTTACTCTACGGCTCGTGTACCAGGGTGAACGCGTACTGCGGATAAGTTGTCGAAGCGAACAAGCAACGCTGCGAACGAGCCACACGCGACGCTGCGGTACATGCGGCCGCCATGGATGCGGCGCGTGGCGCTCGAGTGCGCCTAGCGCCGCCAGGCGGATCGCAGCGCGGCGAAGGCGGCGGCGCGAAGCCAAGCCGCGAAAGCGCGCGCGAGCGGGAGTCGCGCGAGCGGGAGGCGCGGCGGCAGCAGCTGCAGCGGTCGCTGGACGAGGCGCAGAAGCCGCTCGCCGCCGCCCTCGCCGTCGCCTGAAAGGTGCCGCCTCCGCCCCGCTTCCCCTTCCCCCTGGCCTCGCCCCGCCTCACCTCGCGCTTCCTCGCCCCGGCGGGGGTAGCGAGTAGTCAGAGGAAGGATGGCGAAGGGGAGTCGCGGGAATGCGTGGGGAGCGCGAGGCGTGGCCGCTTTGCTGCTTGACGCTGGCAGCCGCCTCTCTCTCTGCTCCCCCCTCTCGCCCCACCCCTCCGTCTCCCCTCTACCCACTCTCTTCAGTTGCTGGACCTCCTTGTGCAGCATCACACTCATCCCATCACGCGTCGCTTCTGAATGCATGACATGGCATGGTGTATGGGTGCATGCTGTAAGGCATGTTGCTCGATTGATGATGCATGGCATGACATGATGGCATGGTGCATGGTGCATGCCAGCAGGTTCTTTTCCGCCAACCTCCACGACTGCACGTCCTGCCACTAATGGCAGCTGTGCTGCTGCCACGTGGCAGGGAGCAGCCCCTTGGCAGGACACGTGGCAGTGGCAGTGGGCGTCCCAAGACCCTGCCTTGCACAATCAGCTGCTACGTGGCGTGCAGCGATTGCTCGACTTCGTGGCGGCCAATGAGATGCCTCTCTGGAGTGACGTGGCGTGCAGGCGGGCAGTGAGGGTGAGAGGGGCGGCAGTGAGGGTGAGAGGGGCGGCAGTGAGGGTGAGAGCTGGGCTGCTGGCATGCCGTTGATTGGCGGGTCATGAGCAGAGAGTGCTGGCGGAAAATGCTGGGGTGCCCCTGTTTGTCGTATCTACGTCTGGCTCACCATGCCCAACTGCGCCCTCCCCACCTCTCGTTCCCACATGCTCCCTTCCTCCCCTCCTCCCCATCCCCCACCCTTCCCGCCAATCCCCCCCTCTCCCCCCCCCGCCCCACCAGGCACACTATGAGGCATCGTGTGCGGCGCTGCTGCACCTGCTGGCGTTCAGCGCGCCACCAGCGCTGGCGTCGGTGCGGCAGGCAGCGGTGCGCGTGTGTGCGCGCATGGCCACTGTGGGGGGCGGTGGTGGCGGGAGAGTGTCACGGGCGCCATGCTGCTCGGCCTCTCCGCCTATGTTGATGCCCCCGGTGAGGCCAGTGTCGGGAGGTTGGGCCGCCTGGCACACGGTGTGGGAGGTGTGGGAGGGGTGGGGGGTGTGGGAGGGGTGAGGGTGTGGGGTGTGTGGGGGTGTGGGAGGTGTGGGGGTTGTGGGGGGTGTGGTAGTGGTGGGGGTGTGGGGGATGTGGGGGTGTGCGAGTTGTGGGGGGTGTAGGGTGTGGGAGGTGCCACGTGGATTAGAGCATGGGTGAGGCAATCCACGCGGCAAGGGTGTTGCGGGTGGGGTGATGGGTGGGTGGGTGGAGAGGTGGTGGTTGTGGTGCTGCGGTGCTGCAGGGCACACCTGGCTGCGCTCTGCTTGTGCTGTCATGCACCGTGCGTGTGCTCTGCTCTGCTGTGCGCACAGAAATGCATGTGCTGTGCTCCCTCGCTGCTCTGCTCTGCGTGCTGTCCCTTGCCGCCACTGCTGTGCTGTGTTTCAAGCACCCCGCCCCGCCGGCACAGCCCCTTGAAGCCCTCTCTCTCTGTTCCTTACTGCCCTGCCCCGTACGCCGCCCCGTGTGAAGCCCCCTGCTTCCCCACCGCCTGCTCACATCCTTCAACTCACTCAACATGCCCTGCGCCCTCTCCTGCCCTCCTTGTCTGCGCCGCCCTACCCTGGGTGCCCCGTGTGTGTGCTGCGTGTGCCCTTTGCGCCTGCACCCCACCTGCTCTCTCTGTCTGCACCAGGCGACCACGTGGTGCTGGACGCCTGCACTGCCCTCGCTGCCTCCCTCCTCGCCCTGCCTCCACACCCCCTCTCCCGCCCACTCCGCCACGCCCCCATTCCCGCCCTCCCCCTTCCCTCCTCGCACCCCCTCCCTGTGCTCCCTTCTCCCCCCTCGTCCACCTCGCCCCTCGTCCCGCCGCTCGCCACCCTCACCGCCCCCTTGCTCGCCGCGCTGTGGCGCCTCCACCTGTCACGCTCCGCACCTGCTCTCCGCAGTCATGGCACGCAGGCCAGCACGGGTAGCACGGGTTGCATGGGCAGCAAAGGCAGCAAGGGCAGGGATGGTGGAGGGAAGAGTAGGGGAGGCGTGGTGGCGCGGGCTGCTGAGTGGCTGTGGGGGGCAACAGGTGCGGGGGATGCGAGGGTTGTGGGAGGGGAAGCGGTGATGGGTGCGGGGGAAAGGGAAGGTGGCATGGGCGGGGAGAGATGCATGCTCACACCAGTGCTGCTTCGTGTGGTAAGGAGGCGTGTGGGGGTCTGGCAGGAGCGGATGGAGGGTCAAGGGCGCAGAGCAGCGCGTGCAGTAGCGCACACACAGATATCACCAGCCAAGGCAGCAGCAACAGCAGCAGTAATGGCGACGAGCCTATTGCCCCGCAAACGAAGTTACTACTTCGTTTGCGGGGCAATAGGCTCGTCGCCATTACTGCTGCTGTTGCTGCTGCCTTGGCTGGTGATATCTGTGTGTGCGCTACTGCACGCGCTGCTCTGCGCCCTTGACCCTCCATCCGCTCCTGCCAGACCCCCACACGCCTCCTTACCACACGAAGCCACTGGTGTGAGCATGCATCTCTCCCCCGCCCATGCCACCTTCCCTTTCCCCCGCACCCATCACCGCTTCCCCTCCCACACCCGCATCCCCCGCACTGTTGCCCCCCACAGCCACTCAGCAGCCCGCGCCACCACGCCTCCCCTCTCTCCCTCCCTACCCCCTCCACCATCCCTGCCCTTGCTGCCTTTGCTGCCCATGCAACCCGTGCTACCCGTGCTGGCCTGCGTGCCATGACTGCGGAGAGCAGGTGCGGAGCGTGACAGGTGGAGGCGCCACAGCGCGGCGAGCAAGGGGCGGTGAGGGTGGCGAGCGGCGGGACGAGGGGCGAGGTGGACGAGGGGGAGAAGGGAGCACAGTGGGAGGGGGTGCGAGGAGGGAAGGGGGAGGGCGGGAATGGGGGCGTGGCGGAGTGGGCGGGAGAGGGGTGTGGAGGCAGGCGAGGAGGGAGGCAGCGAGGGCAGTGCAGGCGTCCAGCACCACGTGGTCGCCTGGTGCAGACAGAGAGAGCAGGTGGGGTGCAGGCGCAAAGGGCACACGCAGCACACACACGGGCACCCAGGGTAGGGCGGCGCAGACAAGGAGGGCAGGAGAGGGCGCAGGCATGTTGAGTTGTTGAGTTGAAGGATGTGAGCAGGCGGTGGGGAAGCAGGGGGCTTCACACGGGGCGGCGTACGGGGCAGGGCAGTAAGGAACAGAGAGAGGGCTTCAAGGGGCTGTGCCGGCGGGGCGGGGTGCTTGAAACACAGCACAGCAGTGGCGGCAAGGGACAGCACGCAGAGCAGAGCAGCGAGGGAGCACAGCACATGCATTTCTGTGCGCACAGCAGAGCAGAGCACACGCACGGTGCATGACAGCACAAGCAGAGCGCAGCCAGGTGTGCCCTGCAGCACCGCAGCACCACAACCACCACCTCTCCACCCACCCACCCATCACCCCACCCGCAACACCCTTGCCGCGTGGATTGCCTCACCCATGCTCTAATCCACGTGGCACCTCCCACACCCCTACACCCCCCACAACTCGCACACCCCCACATCCCCCACACCCCCCACCACTACCACACCCCCCACAACCCCCACCACACCCCCCACACACCCCACACCCCTCACCCCTCCCACACCCCCCACCCCTCCCACACCTCCCACACACCGTGTGCCAGGCGGCCCAACCTCCCGACACTGGCCTCACCGGGGCATCAACATAGGCGGAGAGGCCGAGCAGCATGGCGCCCGTGACACTCTCCCGCCACCACCGCCCCCCCACAGTGGCCATGCGCGCACACACGCGCACCGCTGCCTGCCGCACCGACGCCAGCGCTGGTGCGCGCTGAACGCCAGCAGGTGCAGCAGCGCCGCACACGATGCCTCATAGTGTGCCTGGTGGGCGGGGGGGGAGAGGGGGGATTGGCGGAAGGGTGGGGGATGGGGAGGAGGGGAGGAAGGGAGCATGTGGGAACGAGAGGTGGGGAGGGCGCAGTTGGCATGGTGAGCCAGACGTAGATACGACAAACAGGGGCACCCCAGCATTTTCCGCCAGCACTCTCTGCTCATGACCCGCCAATCAACGGCATGCCAGCAGCCCAGCTCTCACCCTCACTGCCGCCCCTCTCACCCTCACTGCCGCCCCTCTCACCCTCACTGCCCGCCTGCACGCCACGTCACTCCAGAGAGGCATCTCATTGGCCGCCACGAAGTCGAGCAATCGCTGCACGCCACGTAGCAGCTGATTGTGCAAGGCAGGGTCTTGGGACGCCCACTGCCACTGCCACGTGTCCTGCCAAGGGCTGCTCCCTGCCACGTGGCAGCAGCACAGCTGCCATTAGTGGCAGGACGTGCAGTCGTGGAGGTTGGCGGAAAAGAACCTGCTGGCATGCACCATGCACCATGCCATCATGTCATGCCATGCATCATCAATCGAGCAACATGCCTTACAGCATGCACCCATACACCATGCCATGTCATGCATTCAGAAGCGACGCGTGATGGGATGAGTGTGATGCTGCACAAGGAGGTCCAGCAACTGAAGAGAGTGGGTAGAGGGGAGACGGAGGGTGGGGGCGAGAGGGGGGAGCAGAGAGAGAGGCGGCTGCCAGCGTCAAGCAGCAAAGCGGCCACGCCTCGCGCTCCCCACGCATTCCCGCGACTCCCCTTCGCCATCCTTCCTCTGACTACTCGCTACCCCCGCCGGGCGAGGAAGCGCGAGGTGAGGCGGGGCGAGGCCAGGGGAAGGGGAAGCGGGGCGGAGGCGGCACCTTTCCAGGCGACGGCGAGGGCGGCGGCGAGCGGCTTCTGCGCCTCGTCCAGCGACCGCTGCAGCTGCTGCCGCCGCGCCTCCCGCTCGCGCGACTCCCGCTCGCGCGCGCTTTCGCGGCTTGGCTTCGCGCCGCCGCCTTCGCCGCGCTGCGATCCGCCTGGCGGCGCTAGGCGCACTCGAGCGCCACGCGCCGCATCCATGGCGGCCGCATGTACCGCAGCGTCGCGTGTGGCTCGTTCGCAGCGTTGCTTGTTCGCTTCGACAACTTATCCGCAGTACGCGTTCACCCTGGTACACGAGCCGTAGAGTAAAAGCGAAACAATCTACTGCATCCATGAGAGGCGTG